TTTTTTTTTTTTTTTTTTCTTTTTGGTACCAGGGATCAAACTCGGGTCCTTGCGCTTGTGAGGCAGGCCACTGAACCACTGAGCTAAATCTCCAGCCCTAGTGTTTCCTTAATGAAGGATTGCAGCTGAGCAGGCAGGGGTTCTATAAATATCTGAGCCCCCTTTCCCCCCAACTTCCTGTTTCCCTCACTTCCTGTTTCCTGTGGAACCCTGGACAGAGACCCGAAGTGATGAAGATCACTGGTGTGTTAGTTGTGCTCCTCATGGTTTTTGGATCCAGTCATGGTTTAGAGGATGGTAAGGAAAAGGGAATTCTGGAGGGCGGCCTCTCTGGCAGTGGTGCGCTCTCTTACATAAGGTTGACTTTGGGAATTAGTATGTTACACTCTGGTAATCATCTGCTGAAAGCTAGTCAGTGCCGTTCTCCACTCAGACATGCCATACTTCCTCTTGAATCCCCAACAAGTTGACCTCAGGGTGCTGGAATTTAAAATATTATACATATTATGTATATTTACAGTAACATTAAATATTTAAGCAGAAGTCTTTAGTTTGTCATAGCACAATGAGGTATAATTGGCTTAAACATTAAATGGAAAGCATCTGATTGCTTTTCCCAAGTGCCTACAACCCAGTGTCAAAGCTTTTCAGGTCTGTGTCCGATGTGCTGGGATGTGATCTTGGGGTCTGTGTGTAGATGACATTCAAATACTCTCTAGGGAACCTGGTGGAGAATTGTTTTATGAGCCTTTGTGAGTTTTCTACGGTCAGGTGAAAAGACTGAGCACGGAGACAATGTATCCAAGGTCACGCAAGTGGGAAATATGTAAACAGAACCGAACCATTTTCGTGCTGGAGTTGAGACCCGGACTGGCCAGAGGTTAAGTGTTTTCGGAGCTATTGCTCGGTGAGAGACATGTGTATGACGCTTTCATTTCTTTCTCTTATCAGTGATTGTAACCTGCAGTGAGCAGTGGCTGTGGGTGAGAGTGAAGTGGCGGGTTCTTGGGAATCACCCGGAGCCCCAGCTGTCCGAACTGTATCTAGGAACTCGCTGCAGGGTGACTGAAAAGTCCATGGGCTACTATGAGTATTTTTATCCTCTCTCTCAATGTGGAATCAAAACTGAAGTAAGAAAAGTTATTTCAACAATGTCCTTTGGTTTTATTTTCAGCGTTACAAAACATTCATTACAGTTAACTATGAATTAATTGTTAGCTGCTATAATATTGACAATCTTTAGTTTTTGGATCATTTCACAACAGGAGAGATGGCAGGTAGGACATGGAACTTTACCCATGGTGCATTTACTTATCTAACTTCTGCAATATATCTTTCTTGCCTTTGATGGTGAGACTCTATATTCTCTGTGATAAAGCCTACACAGAGCAAAACACTTTATCTTGAATCATCCTGACAATCTCCCACCTAGTTGTCATTGTCTAAAAATTCCAGCTGTAAAAGGGAATAAAAAGTCCTACAGCTGCTGTATAGTTAAAGGGGAATCGATCTTTCCTGAGGTTGTATCAACTATTCCACATAAAATGGATCATTAGGGGTGTGTGTGTGTGTGTGTGTGTGTGTGTGTGTGTGGGAGAAGGGGAAAGAAGGGAGGTGCCTAGGTTAAAGTGAGGGAAATGAGCAACATTATTAAGCAATTATGCTCCTGGTGTGCTGATGAGCATTTGAGAAGCTTCAGTTCCCTTCAGCTGCATACTACCTAGTGCAGGTTATGCTTCCTTAGCTAATGGCCTTACTTGGTTTCAGGTGGTTTATGTAGCCTCCATAGTGCCCTGGTAGAGTTCCATATCAACTCACTTTTAGTGTATAGAGGGGGGATTGAAATAGATGTTGAATGTGTAAATTAAAAAAAAATGATTACAGTTATGTTTAAATGCAAAATTTATTGCAGTAAGAGACACATTGCCACTAATCCCCTCAGATACTCCCCTCCACTTTTAACACACTTGTACAATCCTTCTTGCCACTTTCTGAAGCAGTTCTGGGAATCTGCTGTCACGTCTTTACAAGCTGCGATCAAGTACACAGTGAATGCTGTCGCCAAGAGCCAGCCAATGGAAAGGGAGGTTTGTAACAAATACGATGGTGTGAACTTACCCTCCTCATTCACTGGGTCACACTGTGGGGCTTCGGGTTCTTCCCCAAAGTAGAAATAAATGATGGAAAGTTAATGTTTTGAATTAATTTAGGACATTGTGGTAGCCTAAACGGTGCAGCTAAAGACACTTACAAAATAGGATTTCCAGAACTGCTCCAGGAAGTGGCAAGAGCAGCATGATCATTGTGTTTAGGGTCAGGGGAAGTATTTTGGGGGGATTAATGACACTGTGCCTTTGAAGAATCTAAACATTCGCTATATTTTCTGATCTCCTCAGATGACTTAGGTGGACAGATTCTACTCTTGGATCCAGACAGTGTCCCGTACCTTGGACCACTGCTTACTCTCCCAGTAGCTAAGCAGTGCTTTTCATATGGCAAGCTGTCCAAACATTTGTTAAGTAAAATGTAGGCACTTAATAAGTACTTGTGAAATGAGTGATTCAGATAATACTGATTACTCCGTGGAATAACTCCACTGCTAGAAGAATCTTTCTGATATGTTTGCAGGGCTTTTTAGGGGAGAGGATTGGTCTTTTCCATTGGGAAGCAGATAGATCCTGGAAGTAGACAGGTCCTGAGGTTTAAGTCTGCAAATCCTGTGCAAAGAAACTACCTTAAAAAAGTCCAACTCAGGGAACGTAAAAGATGAGATTCTTTTTAAGGGAAATTGAGAAATAGGTATTTGATTATGTATGGATTTTTTAAAAATCAAGCTATTCCTAATATCTTCTCACCTAGGACTCTCCGGTATATGGGCCAATACATTCCCATGTGTGAACAAGTGAGATGAAATTTGATGTTGTTAATATGTAATACATGTGTTCTGACGCTTTCAACCCTGTAAATTCTTACCAGACCCTTTTATAGGTCAAAAGTTTGGAATTATTTTCTCTCTCTGGTCACAAAAAGGGTAAATGTTAAGTATAGAATTTGAACTTGTACAATCTAGGGTGCTAACAAGCACTTGAACAGCATATTTTAAGATGTTAAATAGTCCTATTACAGGTGACTAATATGCAAGTAGTGACCCCACTGTAGGGGTAAGGTAAATAAATGCTTGTTCATTTTTGACATTGCTTTGTGTTTCAATTGTAGGATATGATGTTTTTATTCAGTCTAACATCCAGACATAACAGAAATAACCAGTTTTTTACTCTTCGCCTGTTTAGGTACGCTCATGGGGTATTCTCATTGAAAGTTCAATCAATTATGAACCAGAAAATTCAGATTTCTGGGGTTTCTTACCAATATCATGCTATATTCGAAGGTAAGCATCGTAGACCACTGAGAAAAGGTTACCTGACATTAAAATGAATGCCAGGTGTTCCTAGAGTAAATCTGTGGCCAAACATTTGGGTCCCGTGTGATCTGCAGAGTTCTGCTTAACTGTGTAGGTTGATCTTTCAGAATTCAGTTGATTCTGTCCGGGCCTTTTCTGAAGGAGGCGAGGCTGTCGGTAGTTCACTGACAGCTGACAGTATTGAGTCAAATGTCAACATTTTCACTTAAGAGCCCGTGTTCTCAAATCTGCCCTAAGTTATCACTACAAATATCAAGAGGTACTGGTAATCTTTATGTGAATGGGTCAGACAGTGGACATTTTAGAGGATCAGGCTTAGTGATTGCGTGATAGGGAAACAAAGGGTTTGGAGGTTTACATGCTGCACCATTTAGCATTGTCTGTTTATACTGTTTAGCCAAGACCTAAGTGTTATAGAGTCAACAGAAGTACAGGGGGACCTCAGTGCTTGTTAACTGGTTCCGGAAGATGCAACAAACACCAAAGATGATGACTACTGGAAAATTATTTTGGAGGGGAAGGGTGAGTCACCAGGACATCCATACCAACAAACTCTAGCTTGCTAGTATGGTTCTGAACAAACAATGAGTATATGAGGAGTACTGGGACACAATGTTCATGTCAGAAATGCATTGAGTACCAGAAGCAGCAGGTTTCAAAGCAGTGAAGTACCAGGAGGGGGCTGTATTATGCAAAACCATTTTGAGTAGCAAACCTTCCTTTTCTTCAGTGTTCACTTCTATACCCACCATCCCTAGTCCTGCCCACCCCAATGCCTACGAAAGGGCTGTTAGAGCCAACCAGTCTATCTCCTTTTCTTCTCTCCCCAAACGGTATACGTACAAATGCCAAATCTCTATAATGACTTCTCTCATTCAGATCGTTTACATTAAAGTATGTGAAAAAGGAGGTGGCCCATAGTAGTGGTGAGTCCAAAAAGTCAGCGAGAAAGAAGAGCACAACTTCACATGAGGCAAAGAGCTCGGTGAGCCAGCCAGAACGGACGGTGAGGTGGGTGTTTTGACTTGTCATTGTAGTACAGGATTCACAATGTAGTTATGAAAAATGGCCTGTGTTGAATAAAGCGATGTGAGTCACACATTGTGTACGGGGTGCCCATGCTATTTCAGCTTCGGGTGGCTGTGGTGATGAATTATTGATTCTTTAAGAACTTTATTTATTGTGGTAAGAGTGCTTCACACTGAGATCTGTGCTAGCACATTTTTAAGCGTGTGACGCCTCATTCTTGACTCTGGGTTCAGTGTTGTGCACCAGGTCCCCAATGCTTCTGCACCTTTCTAATAAAATGAAACTTTATTCCGATTAATTGGTTAACTCCTCATTTCTCTGGAAACTACATCATACCCCATGCCTCTGTAGATCTATTTTTTAAATTAACTAATATTTTATGAGTATATGTTTGCCATACATAGTGATCAAGTTTGTCATCAGGACTCTGTACCTGTACATAGCATAGCTATTCTTTTGCTTGTTTGTTTGTCTTTTACCATCCCCTCTCTTTGCTTCACCCTTCTTCCCCTCCTCATTAACAAAAGCTCTGTTTCCATTTTTTCTCTTCCTCCTTCACTGTCCCTTGTTTGCCTCCCCATTTTAACAAGTTCTTCCTTCCCAATGTCTATACTCCATTTTGCTCCTTATTTACACTTTGGGTTTCTCACACGAGAGAGACAATGCAACATTTAAACTTGTGGGTCTGATTTATTTCACTTCAGATTATGGTCTCAGGGTGTATCTATCTACCTAAAATGTCTCAAGTTTGTCCTTCTTTATGGCAGAGTAGTAATGCATTGCATATAAATACCACTTTATACATTTACCTGTTGATGGGCATCTGGGCTGTTTCCAAGATTTAGCTATTTTTAAATTGTGTGGCTATAAATATTAGTGTGCACGTATCATTGTGGTATGATGACTTTAGCTTTTTGGGGAAGATCCGTAGAAGGGGAATAGCTGGGTCAAATGGAACTTTTTAGTTTTTTGAGCAATCTCCATATTGATTTTACTAATTTACATTCTCACCTACCACGGAGAAGGGTTCCCTTTCCCCCACATCCTTGCCAGCATTTGTTATTGGTTGATTTCTTGACAATAGCCATTCTTTCTGAGGTGAGGTGGAATCTCAGTGTTTTAATTTGTGTCTCTCAAATGTCCGGCAATGTTGAACATTTTTGCATTTATTTATTTGCTGTTTGTACTGCATCTAAGACTTGTCTATTCATTTCAGATGCACAGTTTTGGATTGGATCTTTACATTTGGGGGCCTGAATTTTTGAGTTCTTTATATACCTTAGATATTAGTCCTCTGTCTGAAAAGAAGCTGGAATTATTTTCCCATTTTGTGGGTTGTCTCTTTACTCTGTTGTTGGTTTCCTTTGCTGTGCAGAAACATTTTAATTTGTTGTGATCCCATTTGTTGATTCTATTACAGAAAAATCTCTTTGATGAACATAGATGCAAAAATCCTCAATAAGATACTGGCAAACAGAATGTAGTCAACGATCAAAAATATTATATATCACGACCAAGTAGGATTCATTCCAGGGATGGAGGGATGGTTCAACATATGAGAATCAACAAATGTAACAGCACACAAATGTAACACAGAGTCGAGGATAAAAACCACATGATCATCTAAATAGGGGCAGAAAAGTCATCCGACAAAGTTCAGGATCCATTCATGATAAAAACCCTAAAGAAAATAGGAATACAAGATCTTTGTCTCAATCTGATAAAAGCCACCTATGACAAACCAACAGCCAATGTTCTCCTAAGTGGGGAGAAGCTGAGAGCTTTTACTGTACAATCGGAAGCAAGACAAGGATGCCCACTATCACCACTCTTCTTCAGTCTAGTTCTGGAAACATTAGCCAGAGCATTTAGGCGGGAGTGAGGGAGAGAGAGAGAGAAAAGGGATATGGATAGGAAAAGATTTGACTGTTTCTAAAATGCCTCCTATAAGTGCAATTATGCAGTATTTATCTTTCTCCAATTGACTTTTTTAATTTAGCATAAGCTCACACACATTGTTACATGTTGCAGAATTTCCTTTGAGAAGGCTGAATGGCATTCCATTGCTTGTGGCTAGGCTATTTCCATATGTTGGTCGATGTGAACAGTGCTGGATCTAAAATAGGAGTCTAACGTATCTTTAAAGTCCTGATTCCAATAAATAACTGAATTTCTATGGTAATTATGGATCTAATAGGCCAAGGTACTTCTCATCCTTGTTGGTAAAGCAGTTTTGTTACTGTGCCCACAATAGATATTTTATTATATCAATCTCAAACCAGCAAGAGAAAAATCTTTATGATGTACACATGCGTGGGGCTGGGAATTTCCACAGACGTGGAAGTTGATACCAATGCTAGCTCTAACGTCAGCTGTTTTTTAATAACAGTATTTTGGCATGTAAGATAAATCTCTTTTCAATTAAGGTAAAAATGGGCTGCAGTCTTTAGATTTCAGTATCTCAGGTGGGCTAAGTATTTTATTTTATGTATCAATTTGGTTCTTTAAAAACTTGAGACATTGCTCTTATGAAATATTAGTGTTTTATTAATAAAGGGGCATATAAATAACAGAACTGCTATGCTTGAATCATAGAATATTAAAATATTCTGTGAGTTCTGGGCTTCAGCCACTTACCAGTCCAATTATTTAAATGTAAGATGGCCAAACTTTGTATTTTTGTTAATTATTATAAGATAATAGAACAGGAAATGTTAAAATGATACTTTTATCAAATTATTCAATCCAAGAATTCAGTGGTTGAAATGACTCCTGTCTGAGCAACCGTAGGTGAGAGTCAGAACAGAGGTGCTGCCCACGTGGTGCTCGGTGGACTGTTAGGTGGTTCAAACGAAGCCCTTCTTCTCCCAGGCGCTCGCCTGTGAGCTTTGGTAACTCCAGGAGTTCTTCAGCTGTTTCCCACCAGTACTACTTCATGAATTCTTTTTTCTTTCCTTACAGCAATATTGCCCGACCACATCCATTTTCTCCCTCCCGATTAAGTATGGAAATTTACCTGTGAATTCTGGACGGAGAGGCAGCCACGCTAACCCCAGAACTGTGGCTCCTGAGGACCTGCCTGTTGGAGAATGGATAAATGTCCCATTTTAAAATTTTCATTTTAAATTTTCTCTGCAGTCAGTATTTATGAACATTTTGGGGTGTGTGTGTGTGTGTGTGTGTGTGTGTGTGTGGAGAGCTTCTTCAGAATTTAAACGTAATGAAGATTCCATTTTCTCCCTCCCGATTAAGTATGGAAATTTACCTGTGAATTCTGGACGGAGAGGCAGCCACGCTAACCCCAGAACTGTGGCTCCTGAGGACCTGCCTGTTGGAGAATGGATAAATGTCCCATTTTAAAATTTTCATTTTAAATTTTCTCTGCAGTCAGTATTTATGAACATTTTGGGGTGTGTGTGTGTGTGTGTGTGTGTGTGTTTGTGGAGAGCTTCTTCAGAATTTAAACTTGTAATGAAGAATATTTTAAAATAAAGGCTTGAAATTCTTAGTCACTTTTTTATTCTTTGGAAAAAGTTGGTCTTGACCTACATGGCACTGTAGGCTGTTATGTGGGTCTCTGAGTGACACTGAGGGAGGAGTCCCTGCCTCACGGAGCTTCCATGATGCCAGAGACCTGGGACCAGGAAGAAACCAGGGGAGACTGGCACCCACCCCTGCCCCCAGCACACAGGATGAGTCTTCTGATTAAGGATGGTGAAGATCAAATTCTCCTATGAGAAACAAAACTGGGGGAAAATCCACCTAAGTGTTTCAAAGGTGGCTCCTTCTTGGTAATGGAATAGACAGATGATCTCTCCCAGTAATATCCTGCTGTGTCCATCTTCCTTGAGTTCTACTCTGCCTCAGTTCCCTTTCTAGTAGACCACCGAGGAGCTTTGCTGACACAGTTAGAATATACTTACTTCGAATGGAAGGGAGTGAGATTTTGTTTCCAGTTTATAAGAAAATGCTTTCATTTTCCTTCTCTGAAGATAAAATATCTCCAGCTTACAAGACAACTTATTCTGAGTTGCCATCATTTCTCAAATCAAGTGTCTCATACACATGAAGGTTGTGATTTTTCTACATCAATTATCACCATAAGTATTATTTCATTAAATTTATGTAGATGAAAATTTCTAGAAACTAAGAGCAAACAAAGTTCCTGTAAAAATAGCCTTAAAAAAAAAACCCCAAAGAAACAAAAATAGGTGTTTTACAAAGAGGCATTTGAAGGGAAAATTCTTGATTCAGTACCTACTGGTTAATCTCTCCCTATTGTCAACAGAAAATGATAGACCAAAGGCTAGTGCTCTAATCACACAGTGTATAAAATCAATCTAAAAACAGAAGAGACTGCTAATCAGGGGAGAATTTGTAAGTCATGACAGTTATAAAAAAGAGAGTAGCAGGACATAATATGTAGAGAGAAGTTTTGCTAAATAAAAAAGTGAAACTACTCATTCCATCATTTTGCTCAGTCTTGAAAAATAAGAATATTTCCAATTTATGTCAAGTTGTTGGAATGTACTCCCAAATCTTCATTTATATGTCATGAGTGTGTCGTCATGAAAACACTCATAACTATGAGAAAATGGTGTCTAGCACTGCAGCATTTCAGGATAAGAATTTAAACTTCTGTTGACCCTAAGCATTCCATGAATGCATTTAACCACAACATAGATGAAAACAGGAAAGAGGTCAGCACTGTCAGGCACTGTCCTCAGTAGTTCACGCGAACTCACCCTTAAATTTGTGCACAACCTACTGAACAATCAGGTGTTAAAGCGGCCAATTAGGAGGGCAAGCCCAGTTGACATGAAGGCCTTTTCTGAAGCAAACAGTTGGCTCACTGAGGTCTAGGAGAGGAATTGTATTGAGTCAAGTGGAGAAGGCCATGACCACTGATGAGGAGGAACGCAGACACCTGTGTGGGGAGGCCTGGCCTGGGGAGGGAGCCCGAGCCCTAGGCTCAGCTTCCAAAGCCACACAGTTTATTGGCTCTTCGTCAAGCCTGAGGTGGGAGCAGCTCTGCCCCCTGAGGCCTGCTGCACAGTGCCTCGGGATTGATCAGACTGGGGATTTTGCCGTAAATCTAGAGTATTCTACTCTACCCCTTGATTCTTTAAGGCTCTAGAGCTAAATGACCTGGACATTAAGGGGATGGGCCCATAGTCAACATGTCAGGGGCAACAGTAGACTAGGGTCAGGGTTAAGGTCACTCCAAGGAGGATGACCAGATCAACTTCAAGGCCCTGAGCCCCAAATACTAACAATCCAGGAAAAATGGGCACAAAGCCCATGAGGATGCCTTCCAAGGCGCTAAGAGGTCTTTTGTCCATGCCTAATAATGAACTACGTTTTCTTGCTGGTTTCATTGATTTAGGTGCTAGATGAAGTACTGGCAATCGCATAGGTCTCTTATTGATTGGCCAATGGGAAATTGAGGTCTAGGCAGTAATGCTAAATAACTTTTCTAACTGGATTCCCAACAGGAGAAATAACTCCTTATAGTGTCCATGTGAGCAGAGGGTTAGTAAACCACCTAGATACTCCCTATGGTAACTGGGGCTGCCTGGCTCTGGAGCCTCCAACTTATCTGGTATAGTATAATATGCTCAATTGGGAAAACACTATTTTAAATATTAAGAAATGTTTTATCAATATTCCTTATGTGTGTGCTACTACACCCATAGAACAGGGTTTTAAAAAATGATATTTCAAGGGGTATACAAAGTGCTGGGATTGTAAGAATCTTCGAATACCATGGAGTCTCCTGGTGGGAAGAAGTTCTGAGAGGTTCACAATGATAGTTTTTCTTTCAAAAATTTTAAAGCAGAACTTAGTAAATCTCAGATTCACCCTGAGTCATAGGAAGACTCTTTCTGTGATGGGGACTCAAGTGGAAGGGCCTCCAGATGCAGAAGTGAGGCCGTTTGGCTTATTCTTGGCTGTTCTTGTGGACTGAGGATGGGCCAGCTGGTATTCAAATCTAAGCAGCTATATTTTGAATAATCTGAGCTCCATGGGGACACAACAATTGAATGTTTATCTTGCAGTAACTACGCTCAGTTTTGTTATGTAACACCTTGCTTTTTCATCCTTTCACAACATCTTTGGCTTTTTTTGCCTGTGGCAAATAAAATCAAGGCTGACAAAAACTTCAATTTCACATCAAATTTAATATTATTCTCTTCTACTACTGATCTTTTCAGGTACAGACGATTGGAATGGGCGAAGGTACAGTGTAACCTGTAAATACTCTCCCTCCTGTCTTTCTTACCACTCTGCCACGTCAAAGTGAGGGACAAAGATAAAAGAGGAGAGAGGAATGAATGTTTCCAGCCTGATATAGTTTCCTCCATGATTAGAAACACTGGTCCGCTGGTCACAGAAATACACCAAGACCGGTAAATGTAGCTTCATTGTAAATACTTCTGTTTGTGGGTGTTTCAGAGATAACGATTGGATATATGTTGGGGAAATCTAGATAGGGTCTTGCTGTTCCATGCAAATGTCACTGTCGATACCTCTCCCACTCCCTAACGTGGTTGTCGACCACCAAGCTTCTTAGTTCTGTGTGACACACAGGTGATACATATTGTTGGTTGGTATACTTGAGAAATTAACTCTAAGCCAGGATTTTTTTTTTTTGGTAGGAAATCATCTACCAAGGGTTGGAGAGTGTGTGATGTTCAACTGTCCTTTTTTTCTACTCTTCTCTCAGTGTTTCTTTTTATCCATGCTAAAGAGACATAAGTGCAAGACATGCTAGTCTACTGCAGGTAGATGCTTGGAAGTAAAACATCAGCCTCTACTCTGGTTCTCCACTCAGTGTTTTCCAGGCTTCGTTTAAAACCTGCTTCATTGGCTTCATGAAAAGCAGAGTGCGTAGTGCACCAGCCCAGCGGCACACATATTCCTTTACCTGTTTCCCATGGACTGTGTGGTGAGATGATTGCAGATATGAGAACTTCGGTTTTAGCACTGTTTACGAGAATGAATTGAGGTAATAGGAAGACCTAATTAACACTGTGTTAGGGACTTTTCCTTGTATATCTGTGAGACCCAAGAACTACAACAAGGGCCAAGGATTTAGCTCAGTGGTGCTACCACCTGCCTGGAGAGTGCAAGGTCCCGAATTCAATTCCTGGTTAAAAAAAAAAGAAGAAAGAAAGAAAGAAAGAAAGAAAAAAAAAAAGAAAACAGAAATACTACTAATATACCAGATTGCTGTTATTGCTGTTTTTAAATGAGGGATTGAATTTGGTATTCTGCAATACAATCCAAAGAAAACTTTTTAATCTCTTAGTTTCTAGTCTCTCATTCCCAGGCATGATAAAGTAATAGTAATATTTTCTTCCTATTTAACACTATCGATTACACAGTTTCGTTATTTATCCTTCCAGTTTCTCTCACACCAAAGGGATGATCCAATGCTTACACATGTGTGTCCGATTTACTTCCCTGAAGAGTAGGCTCGAATCCTGACAATCAGTGCTGTCTTTCCCAATCTCTTTATTCCTTCCTACTTAGACACAATGAAATAGCCGAGGAATTTTTATGGAAGTTTCCCATCAGTAAGGCTACTGATTTCTTTTCCTTCATCACCAGAGCGGTCCCCTGCAGAGAGTAATATCTACTCCTTGCTGTTATGTGGAAGCATTAAATTATAAATCCTGATGATTAAGACAGCCTTCACTAACATGCCAACTTCCTGAGGGTTTCTCTACCTCTTAGAAGTTGGCCTAATGTCAATGGATATTGTATTTTAACTTCATGATACTGGTTTTAAAATGAGTTGGTTTGACTGTATGTGTTTAAGAATTCTTTGGGAGAAGAAAAGGAGCTTTGGCATACTTGTAAATTTGCAATAAAGTTAATTAAAAAAATAAAACTTTGAATATCTGAGTAGTTATTTGTCTTTACAGAAAGCTGCAGTCCTGAGATGCACGGTAACTGCTCTGGCAACTGTAACTTGCAGTTGTGACTTAATTGCATGAGTCCTTAACAGCAAGGCACTTCCTCTGTCTGGAGACAGAAGTGAGATTGTCTCAGAAGAGGAAGTCAGAGGGACTGAAGTGTGTGATGCCGTGGTTTCATCCTGCCGCGGTTTCACATGTCAGCATCACCCGTGGACTCTGAGCGTTTAGGGGCTACATGATCACCAGAAGACATGGCTGTCTACACCCAATTTCCAGTACCATCATTTTTATTTGCTTTTGGATTTTGATTTTATTAAATATTTTATGAGTTCTCTCCTTTGCATTCTAGAAGTGCAAGCAGCAAGCTCGATCTTACTCAGAGATATTACCAGATTGAAAGACTAAAGAAGGAAATAATTGCCAAGTGTTAACCTCAGTGAGAAACAATCCCACAGATACTTTCAGAATGATGATGTGTAAGTAAATATTTTTGCATCCCATGGCCAAGATTTAAAAAAAAATCTTTATTAAGCTTCTTAATACATTTTAGGTATATAGTGCAGTTACATTGATCATTGGGATCTTGTCTGGAGTTGTTTCTGCATCATCTAATCTATTCCACTGGTCCTTGGGTCTCTTTTTTTTTTGCCAATATCATGCTGTTTTTATCACAAACTTGCCCTTTATGCTTACAAAGTGGTGGGAGATATTCACAAAATGCACAGAAATTGAGAAAGCAGTTTCTGATGAGAAGGCATCCAAATGGTCAATGTGATTTTATGAGAAATCATGAGATGAAAATGTACTCAATCCCTATCACTAGTTGAGAAAATTTAAAATTAAACACCTGCGGCAGCCTCGTGACTCTTGTTAAATCCTTAAGCTTTTATTCAGTATCATTTAAATAGCAAGAAACATAGAGGGACTGTAGTTGTTCTCTAGGAAAATCCTTACGCTGTGCCAAGAGTTGTAAGACAGGCTTATTAGCTTTACTCTACCATGTGTCTAGGAGGAAAACAATTGTTTGAAATCCCTGGTCAGGCAAGGACAGAACTCCAAGAATAAAGAAATGTGATTACATCAAATTAAAATCCTTTTGCAAAGCAAAGCAAATAATCAACAAGAGTGAAAAGACAATCTCAGACTGGGAAGTTAGGCAGCTACTCTTCCCATAGACGACTTGTGTAGAATATACAAAGAACTAAAAACAATGCTTCCCCCAAACAAATGACCCAATAAAAAAATGGGCAAATGAATTGAATACATACTTCTCAAAAGAAGCACGAACAGACAATGAGCAGATGAAAAAAAGTTCACATTTTAGCCATTAAAAAGATGCAAATCAAGACAACACTGAGATTCCATCTCGCACCAGTCAGTATGGCCATCATCAAGCACACAAAAAGCCACAAATACTAGCGAGGATATGGGGGAAAGGAACCCTTCTACTGTGCTGGTGGGAATGTACAGTAGAACCACCACCCTGGAAATCAGTGTGGAGATTCCTCAGAAAGCTAAAATAGAAATTTCATTTGACTCAGCTACATTTCTCCTAGCTATATTTCTAAAAGAATTAAAGAAACTATACATACCCATGTTTATAATAGTGCAATTTATAGTTGCTAAGCTCGGTAAACAACCTACATGACTATCAAAAGAACTGATAAAGAAAATGTGATACACACACACAATGGAATATTATTCAGCCACAAAAAAGAATGAAATCATGCTCTTTGCGGGAAAATGGAAGGAACTTGAGACCAGACTGCAAAGTGAAAAGTGTAAGGCACAGAAAGCTAAATATCACATGGTTTTTCTAATATGAGAAACCTAAAATATAACTGACTATTAACAAAGCAGAGATGGTAGGAAACAGAATAGGAGAGGGGGAGGGGGAGGGGAGGGGAAAGGCAAGAGGGAATTAAAAATCAGAAATTATCAAGATATACTCATGTCCTATGCGTCTACTAGTTCCCCAAATGAGTATCAGTATTATGTATTGCAAATGAACACTAATAAAATTAAAATGAATAGTTACTGATTTAAAAAACCCTGCAGATAATTTCTCTCCCTCTCCCCCAAATATAATACTAACACAGTTTGGTATTGGTACCGCTGCCTTGATTGTTGCTCAGGGGCACCAGTGTTTACCAAAACTGTGTTTGCACATCCGGGAAAATGTCAACATGATTAAGAAAAACGAATAACGTCAGCATTATTATTAAAGTATTTTGTGATTCTACGAACCCCAGCATCCAAAGACCAAACTGAAAAGCATGGTGGGGTTGCGTTTGCTACTCTAGGTCTCTTCTGGCTGTGCATGAATTTGGGGTTGTTTTCTCTAGTGCTGTGAAGCAGAAAGACTTCAGGTGGTGCCGTCCCTGGTAAGAGAATCCTGCGCTGCTCAGATAAGGAGAAAATGGAGGCAGCTGGGCAGGGGATGCGGCCTGGAATCGCTTAAACTCGCAGCCGCGCCGCGCCGTTCGAGTGGAGCTGCGCTGGAGGTCCGCCCAGATGCGGGTCTCCTCAGCCTTGGCGGCCTCGACTCTCTTTGCTGTCTTGATCTGGCCTTGCTCTGGCCTTCATGGGGAGATGGACGGTAAACGGCCATTCAGGAAGGCGTCCTCGGGGGTGTGTTCAGAACGACGGCTTCCCTTCCTGGTGCCGCCTCCCCAAGGAGGAGCGATGGTACTGGAGTTTGCTGGAAGAGAAACTGGGTCGACATGGGTCACACGTCTGAGTTCCCAGGCCCACCTTCTCCGTTTCTCCCTCTTGTCCATCTTGGTCTCGTCTTGATCCTCACTTGCAGAAAGTCCTTGGCTCTGAGTCTGTCTGCCTTTGCAAGCCCGCCGCCCGTCACTGGTACTTAATTGCACTGTGAGAAACTCGGTGGTATCTGAACTGGAAGTCCTGCCTCCAGGCTCTTCCTCTTTCCGCTCTGTGCTTCACCCACGGCAAATCCATCAATGGTCCACAAGGCCAGCAGGCTAAAGGCAAAGCAAGTCCACTGCCTGCAAGTTGATTCTAGTAGGTCTTTTCTGCTTTTCCTGATATCTAAATGCCTTACAACCTGACTAAATGTCATCTACTCTAAGGCAGTATTTCACTATTCCCTTTCCTGTTATTTTTTTATTTGTTTGCCAATTTACTTCAGCGTAGACTTGTCTTTCATTTTACTTGAAGCGGGGGGTCTCTTTCTGGGACTGATGTATGAATTTCTTTTATATCCACTGGACATCAAAGGCCTTCAAGCGCAAGGACCAGATCTCGTTACGGTTCTTTCCACTTGATCTAAGGTGAATCCTTCAGAATCCTGGATCAGGGCTGCTCACCAGGAAGCCACTGGTTACTGAGATGGGCAGCACCTGCAGGGCAAGGTGACTCCCGGCCACTTGGGAGGAGGAGAACAGGGCGCTTGGCCCGGCTGCACCCCTAACGCCTGGGTCCAGGATGGAGCCATGATTCTGCCTCAGTGGATGCACCCAGCAGAGGTGTGGTCCCCGCGCTGTAGCCCAAGTAGCTCCTGCGTTCTTCCTTCGAGAGCCCACCACCGAATGCTGCACCGGAACCTGACTCCACCTGCGTAGTAGGCAGCAGCAGGGAAGTCGAGAATGAGCTTCTGGTGTTCTCGTCCATCTTTAATCCTACTCTTTCAAACTTTTTCTTTAGGAAGGATTTCCCTGAGTGCTTTGCCTAGGTGATGTCAGAATACTCTTTTAAATGCGTGAAGAGATGAGATGTGATTCGGAGGTTATGGTCACTGAGGTAGAACACCTGACTTCTCTCTTTAGAAAATGGTTTGTTCTTAATCTTCTTCGGTTCCATTATCGTTGGAGGTCTCAGTGGCCACTCTACCTCTAACCACATTTTTTTCATGTTTGTGGGACTCAGCCGCCTCCAATGAATCCATTGAAACTGATTATTCCTAGCTTCTCAAAGATTTCATTGTAGAGCAAAGAATGAGTTTCGCGACACAATGTTCATAGAGCTTCCATCCCAGGGAGCAAATGCTCTCTTCGGCGGACACTGTGTCTAGTTCTTGCTGTCTGGATATGAATTCCTCCACACCTGCCTTGCCTTCCTCCTTCTCCACCTTCTAAAAAGTATACTGGGAATGTGTCTCTCCTAACGCCTCGTGGCTCCTTCCTTTATGCTTAGTTCTAGATGTAGTACTTTCTATGGAATCTAATTTCTTCAGGAGGAAGTAAGGGGGTTATAGGATTTTTAAAACCTTTGCATGTTGAGCCTCCCTGAACTTCCCTTGAAATACCTGAAATGTAGGTATTTGGATGCATAATTAAGCAGATACTTTGGGAAAATGGTGATGATATGAAAACCCATTGTGTGCTATTTTTTAAGCCATAGTTACCATTGCCAGGAGAAGAAAAATGCCTCTTCATTGTCCCAAAGGGCAGAGTTGAATGTTCTTTGAGCTCACCCAGGAACTGGATCATGGCTGACACTTTCTCCAATGGCTTTTTCCTTAGTGAGAATATATTGTTCTCTGGACTGGGTGATGGTCTCCGTCAGCCCACACAGATCCAGCAGAAGCAACCCCTATATGTTTGTGGATGAATTAGTTCTGGGCTCGAACTGCCCGGCGACGGAAATACAAGCATACGTGTATCATTTTGTGTACCCTGTTAGTGCCTGTGGCATCAGGACACAGGTGAGCGTGGCAGTTCCTTGTAGAAATGCTTAATGTTTGTCATACCTTTGTGCCCAGCGTTAAAGTTACTGTCCTTTGTGCAAATTCTGCCTTTGCTCCTGGTTTTAGCAATCGATGGGCGGGTGATGGTGAGTTCTTCACTAACATGGGCCGTGGCTGAGCGTGCACAGGACCCGCAGCACAGTTGGCAGCCTGGCTGGAGGATTAACTGTAAGCTCTTGCTAGGCACCACTCCTCCATCTCACCGAAGCTCGGAGACAATTTTAAATCTTATTCAGTACTCCAGTGTGCAAGGCCATCAGTGTGAAGCTGTCCGAAATCTACCCATTCTCCAGGAGGGTGTTATTACATGGGGAGATGGCTTTCAGTAGAATAGAACCTCCGTTGGCTGTTTGGTTAGGCAAAAATTTTAAACTGTGTTTTTATTCTGGGATATTACCTTTTCGTAGAATCCCAAATTTAAACACTTTATATTTATACCACATTAATTTTTGTGCCAATGACTATGTAAGTAAAGTCTGAAATTAGAGCACTGGGGATTTTTAGAAGGTACTTTAATAATTTTTCCAGAGTTGCTCAGCAAGTGGCTGGAGATTTAGATGCCAAACCAGATTGATTACCCCCAAAGTTCACAGTTTAAGTCACTGTTACTTAATCTTGCAATCATCTTTCTGTTGAAACTTCTATTATCAAACCCTAAACTTGGTTCCAAGGGTCAGTTCAAGTTTAGTCCTATGTACAGTTGAGAGTTCCTTGCCCAGAAGGACTTTAGAACCACGCTTCTGGATAATCCTCCTCTTCACCATCTGGCCTCGTGCTGGCCTTGGTGGTGTCCCGGAGGGATGTAGCCACACCTGAGATGGAGAGTTTTCCACTCGTGTTCGCATTGTGTATGGTTCTTCTGCTACTAGAAAGCTCTCCTGTCTTACCTGTGTGCTCTCCCAGGTGATCTCTGAGGATGTTCTCCTTGTTGAAACGGAGCTGTACTACACCCCAAGGGAAGATCACAGTGACCCCGAGAAGACCTCCTTGGCGTGCATTACCTCTCTGTGAGTCCTGCACACGTGACTCCTTTGAAATGCTTTTCATCTACCCCTTTTTAGCCTTCAGTTTTGTTCAAGCTTGTTTAATGTGAAAATAATTGACATCAAATCAAGAATTTAGAGCTCAGGACATCTTTTAACATGACTAGAGCACTTTTACGGGAGCAACTTATTTATTGTGGAAAAATATATATAAAACAAGATTTACTACCTTAACCGTCTTTAAATGTATAGTTCAGTGCCTTGTATACATCCACACTGTCCACACTTTTGATCTTTCCTTGAACTTTTTTTTTTTTTTTTTTTTTTTTTTTTTTTTTTTTGGTACTGGGGATTGAACTCGAGCTTACGCTTACAAGGCAGGCAGCGGAACCACTGAGCTAAATCCCTGGCCCTCCTTTAACTTGTTTTTACAAGGCAACACCAGGCTAAGGGGTTTAGTGATGAGTCTGGGAAGTTTCCCAAATAGAAACCAAACCCTAACTCTACCTGTCATGCAGCGAGCACATACAGAGAGGCTAATTGCTTTGTTGTCTGCAGCCTACGCTCCTTAGAAAAAAATGAAGACTAGCCAGACAAAAACCATGTGATTAGGTATTTGGTGTATAAATTTTAAGGTAAAATACACACACACACATACACACACACACATGCACACTCACTCACAGACCTCTGGCCCCAGTACTTTGAGTCAGCTAAGCTCTGGCTTTGGCTTACTGGTCTTGGGATCCATTTGACTAAATCTGTTTTACTAAGTACTTTGTTGCTCTCCTAAAGCAGGCATTGCAAATCATCTAAGAACATTCATCCTTCTACTTGTTGTTCTAACCATGGGAAGACTATACGGAACTAACTTTTCTCTAAATATACCTGCCTTTGTCTTACACCAAGAACCCACCATACCCAGAAGGTCCGGTGTGCTGTGGTCCGAAATTAACGCACCGAAAATGATCATTGTCACAAACAGTTGTTAAAACGACGTGGCTCCAAGTTTAGATTCAGAAAGACGTGGAAACACATATGCTAACTGTATGTGCTTTCTGTTTCTTTAGAAAATCAGTGTGGATTATTCCAGTTTCTACTGAGGAAGATACGAAATTGAAGACGAGTCACTTTATATCTGACTTTCAGACAACACCAGAAGAGTTAGGCTTATTAAATTCTAGTCAAATATGCCCATCCTGAAGTCTGGTATTTGGGATGATAAATTTTCTTGGAAAAAAGTTTCTTATATAGAAAAACAGTTGGCATACATTTCTCTTTGGGTATATGATTCCTTAAAATTCTAATTCAGTAAGGCCCTGATTAACAAAGGCATATTTTTAGATAATTTTATTCAAGGGGTACAGCCTGTTAATTTAATGTTAACTACTCAGTAATTTGTCATATCCACTTACATTTTTTTGTTATGTATAGTAGAGTAAGTAATATGTTCTCGGAGAGAGGGATTTGCTCTAAATGATATGAACTTTCAAGAAGTGTTTAGATATTTTTCAGTAATAAAGAATAGTGATCAGCATGTATGTATGTATGTCAGATTACAAACTTTGAGCGTAGTGTAAAATGGAACATACCAACTCATGGTAAAGAAAAAAATCCTGTGTGCCAATACCTTAGCGTGAGCTTTCCTAATCTATCAGCGAAGTCAAATCCTGAGAGTAATACAACATATGATAACATATTGGGGTAATTATTTCAGAAGGACATTCAATTCATACTCTACATTTCAAGCAATCCTTCCTTCACTGAAATTTGGTGTCAGATTTTCCTTTTTCTCCAGTCTGATTTCTCCACCCTTGAGATTTTACTCAGTCAAGGAATCGTGCTGCCAATTAGGAGCAAGTCATTATGTGGTTATTTGTCATTAGCTATCCTATGCTGTTTCTGTTTGATTTTCCCCAAATAAGGAGTCTGCACATGTGATACACCAAAACTCACTTCTGATTTTGGTATTTCTTCCATGAAGTGTAAGAACTGAGCGGTGTTATTGGCCGTTCCATTGCTTTATCAGATGTACCCTTTGGATGTTATATTCTTTTGGGAACAGATGTTTGCCAAGACAATATTTTTCATTAAAGGATTTATGAAAATTAAAGCGCTGTTGCCATTTTCAGAACACGATTACCTGTGGTTGTTTACTTGTCAGTTGAAGAGTTGGACATGGATGTCATAGGCACCTATCTCTGGAGGTTAATAGACAGCTAAGAAGTAAAACTTCCATGGGGCTGGATGAGTGTCAGGCAGTGGTACAAATACATCAGAGCAGTTTAACTCTCTTAGCAACCCACAGGAGTATGTATGCATCACTAGTATCCTGATAACAAAAGGACGCAAAGTTAAACCACCTAGTTCTCTGAGTCAGCGAGCTGGTTTGTGTGGTGTCAGGATTCAGAATTGGGTGACGTGGCTCTGCACCTCTGCCTGAGCTCTCTTCCTATACATTAGCCACTGCAACCCCACTGCCTCTGATCATCTTAAGTCACTGAACTGCAGTCTCTAGAAAATCATTGCTATCAAAGGACTTTCACAGCTTTGGGTGTTGTTGGATGGTAGCCTGTTGAGACTATATTAATATAAGATATAT